TTGTGAATGTATATATGAAATTGATAAAATAAAATAAAAAAAGGAAAAAGAAAAAGAAAAGCAGGACTAAAGGTGACGATATAGGAGGCTTCCAATATTTGAGGGATTGCCCCAAAGAAGAGGAGGTCAACTTCTTGGCAAGGCAGGACGAGAAGCAACGGGTGGAAACTTGATCAAGGAGAGAAACCATCTTGGAATTCAGGAGAAACTTCCTGACAGTGAGAACAATTAATTAAGGACTTGCCTCCAGAAGTTGTGGATGACCCAGTCCTGGAGAATTTTAAAAAGGGATTGGACAAACATTGGCCTGAAATGGTTTAGCACAGTAATGGCGAACCTTTTTGTCGCCAAGGGCCGAAAGGTTTGCCCACACCAAAAATGCAATGCACGCACAACACGCCCCCCCATGTGACACTGTAATCCTGTGCATGTGTGTGTAACATCCCCATGCTACCCCCGTGCATGCGTGTGCAACCCCCCCTCATGCCCCATTTTTGGGCCTAGCAGGCCTCCCTGAAGCCTCCTGGGGCCACAAATGGGGCACAGAAGGGGGGAGCTGCTGCACCCCCTGCGCTCCCTTGGCACTCCCCGGCGCCCTGGCACCTGCCTGGCACAGACCAGGAAATCAGCTGGCCGGCGGGAGGCACGCACGCATGTGCAATGGAGCTGAGCTGGGGTATACAGCTCGCCTGCCTGCCGAGAGGTCTTTGCATGCTATAGGTGGGGCCATCACAGGTTTAGGGTTTCCTGCTTAAGCAGAAGGTTGGACTGGTCCCTTCCAACTCTGTTATTCTGTTAAAAACATCCTGTGTGAAATATTTATGTACTTCAGGGGATTGCACAATCCGTGCCCTCGGGAGTGAAGGAAAGGTAATTTTGCTGGAGTTGTAGAGCAGAGCCTTCTCCCTAGGACAGCCATTTTTCTTGATTGGATGCTTCAGGATTCCACGGAGCATACTCAGATGAATAAAACCACTCTAAATATCTATATATCTATATACCTATATATATATATTTGCCGTTTTAGGAGTATCCGATGCCTCCGCAACATTATCCACTGGAACTTGATCACAACGTTCATCCTGAGGAACATGATGTGGTTCGTGCTGCAAACCATTGACCACAATATCCATGAGAGCAATGAGGTACTTCCCCTCTCAAGAGATATGGCAGAAACTCGAGTGCGGGTAGTCCTTGACTTACAACCATCCACTTAGCGACCGTTCAAAATTACAGCAGCACTGACAAAAAAGCGACGTGCGGCTGCTCCTCGCGCTTACAACCATTGGAGCCCCCCCCCATCAGAATTGGGTTGCTTAGCAACCTGCATATGTTCATGATGGTTTCCGCATCCTGTGATTGTCATTGGGGGGGGGGGAAGCTGGGTTCGCTTAATGACCGCATGAGTCATTTAACAACTGCAGAAATTTGCTTGACAACCATGTGCAGGAAAGGTTGTAAAATTGGGGTGGAACTCATTTTGACTTGCTTGCCGATGAAAATTCTGGCCAAATTATAGTCATAAAATAAGGATTACCTGTAGTTGCCTTATGTTGCATTTTGCATTAAACTAGTCACAATCAAAGGGCAAAAGAAAACTGCAGACCATTGAGTGCAAGCAGTCCTCAACTTACAACAGTTCATTTAGTGACTGTTCGAACACTGAAAGAAGTGAGTTACGACCGCTTTTCATATTTACGACCATTATAGAATCCCCATGGTCACATGACCAAAATTCAGACAAATTGGCAACTGGCATGTATTAAATTTATATTTTACTGACAAAGAAAATAAAGGGGAACAACAGCATGCTGCTTCCCATATTTGGGTAGACTAGGTTGCCCTGGTAGAGAAAAAACACTCAACTGGCACGTACTTATGACGGTTGCAATGCCCCGGGATCATGCGATCCCCCTTTTGCGACCACCCGATAAGCAAAATCAAGGGGGAAGCCAGATTCCCTTAACAACCGTGTGGCTAATTTAACAGCTGCATCCACTTAACAACTGTGGCAAAAAGAGGTCATAAGATGGGGCAAGACTCACTTAGCGACAGAAATGTTGGGCTCGGTTGTGGTCGTAAGTCAAGGACTTCCTGAACAAACGTATAAACACCGTGTGGTACAAATGAACTAAAATATGTACTTATCTCCCAACAGCTTTGGTGCCGGTGCATCACAACCATCTTCAACTACTTCGTGGTGACCAATTTCTTCTGGATGTTTGTGGAAGGTTGTTACCTCCACACGGCCATTGTGATGACCTACAGCACAGACAAGCTGAGGAAATGGATTTTTCTCTTCATCGGCTGGTGTAAATTCAAATTAAAATCCAAATTTAATGAATTTATATGCCGCCCAATCCTGAAGGACTCCGGGCGGCTTACAGAATAAAAAGCCATCTGAAAGCACACAACGCACTTCCCATGTGGCGTTTGGGAGTTTCATTGTTAGCCAGGCCTTTCCTCAGTAATGTACAAAATTAACGAACAACAGACCTGGGGGGGGGAATCTTGGAGGTCCTCTAGTCCAACCCCTGCTCAAGCAGGAGATCCTGTTTGATGAATCAGGGTAGCATCAAGGCAGAAAGAGAAGGGCTGGTTATGCATTTGAGCTTCCACCTTTACTGAGGTCAGAGGGGGTATCTCAAAAATTGTTGTGGTCTTGCAATATCACTTGTGGGAGGGAGAGGGGGGAAGGGGGAAAAGGAAGGAAGGAAGGAAGGAAGGAAGGAAGGAAGGAAGGAAGGAAGGAAGGAAGGAAGGAAGGAAGGAAGGAAGGAAGGAAGGAAGGAAACTATTACATATCAGACAAATTATGCCCTTGTTAGGTTGTTGTTTCAGAGATATTTCCTTATAGGAAGGGAGGGAGGGAGGGAGAAAGAAAGAAAGGAAAGAAAGAAAGAAAAAGAAAGGAAGAAAGAAAGAAAATGAAACTATGACATATTAGACAAAGTATGCCCTTGTTAGATCATTATTTCAGAGATATTTCCTTACAGGAAGGAAGGAAGGAAGGAAGGAAGGAAGGAAGGAAGGAAGGAAGGAAGGAAGGAAGGAAGTGGGAGGGAGGCAGGGTGGGAGCGAGCAAATGAGGAAAATGGAATGTTTTCATGAGTAGATGGATAGAAAGATGTACAGCAAAGTTTTTTCTAAATGGATGGATAGATGGAAGCAAATGTCTAAAAGGGTCCATAAAACCAACACTATTCTAGTATTTTTAGGAAAACAAATCTTTGATGTAGCTTATCTCTGCTTCTTCAGACGTCTGAAAAGGTTCCATTATAGGGCTGAATTTGTGACAATTCTTACTCCTTTCCTTCCAAGCTTTGAAGGAGTCTCTTAGAACTTCCATTCTGTTTCCCCCCCACCCCTCTTTTTTCTCTTGTAGGTATTCCTTGCCCCATTATCATTGCCTGGGCTGTCTGCAAGCTTTATTATGAAAATGAGCAGTAAGTATAAAAATGATTCAACCCACTCCCTGCTTTTCTGCAAGCAGCAGGTCTGCAAAAATGAGCTTTGCATCAGGATAATGTATCAGGCCCGTGATGGCAAACCCATTATGGCATGCATGCCATAGGTGGCATGCACAGGGCTCTCTGCGGGCATGCGAGCCATCGGCCCAGGTCAGCTCCACTGCGCAAATTATTACCAAAATTACTATTTTTTGGTGGCGGTGGGGAGACTCTTGTGGTCTCAGAGGGCTTCATGTTTACTTCAGGATCCTGGGAGAAAGGTGGGGGAAAAATATATATATACAATGAATTCAAATCGAGCCAAGAATGCTTCATGTCCTTAACTTATGACCAGAGTTTTCATCGCTAAGCAAGGCGTTGTTAAAGAATAACACTCATTCTCTGACTTTTTTTTTTTTTTTGCTACGGTTGTTAAGCAAACCACCAAAATTGTTAAGTGAATCATACAGCCGATAAATTAATTCACTTTGCCTGTCAAAAAGCCAGCTGGGAAGGTCACAAGTGGCGATCAAGTGACCTGGGAATATGCAACGGTTATAACAAATACATGGCAATTGCCAATACTTGAATTTTGATCACGGAGTACAAAAGGAGTCATTAAATTCAAGGAATTGTAAATCGGTTTTTCAGGGAGGAGAGGGAGAGGAGGAGGAAGATAAAAGGAGGAACATACAGAGAAGGAGGGAGAGGAGGAGGAGGAGAAAGAAGATAAGATAGAGAAGGAAGAGGAAGAGGAAGAAGAGAAGAGAAGGAAGAAGCTAAGATGGGGAAGATAGGGAGGAGGAGGAGGAAGAGAAAAGATGGAGGAGAAAAAGAAGAGAAGAGAAGATAGGGAGGAGGGGGGAGATAAGATGGAGAAGATAGGGAGGAGGAGGAAGGGAAGGAGAAAGAAGATAAGATGGAGAAGATAGGGAGGAGGGGGGAGGAAGAGAAAAGATGGAGGAAGAGGAGAAAAAGAAGATAAGTGAAGATAGGAAGGAGGGGGGAGATAGGGAGGAGAAGGAAGGGGAGGAGAAAGAAGATAATATGCAGAAGATAGGGAGGAAGAAAGAAGATGAGGAGGAAGAGAAGAGAAAGAAGAAGATGGAAAAGATATGGAGAAGAGGTAGAAAAGGAGAGGGAAGGAAAGAGAGAAAGGAAAAGAAGAAAAGAAAAAGAAAGATAGAAAGAACCCTCACAATTACTGTATTTTTCGGAGTATAAGACACACCGAAGTATAAGACGCACCAAGGTTTTGAAGATGATTTTTTTAAAAAAAGTAGGTAGGTAGATAGAGGGATAGAGAGGGAGAGAAAGAGAGAGAAATACAGGAGGGAGGGAGGCAGGGAGAGAGTGTGTATAGGTAGGTAGGTAGGTCGATAGGTAGAGAGATAGACAGATAGATAGAACTAGAAAGAGAGATAGAGAGAAATACAGTAGATAGGTAGGTGTTTCTGCTGGCACAGCACTCGATCAATGTAATTCTCATCAATCAATTAAAGAGCTTTCCAAAAGTGGGGGCCGGGGAAGTTTTTGCACTCTGCAAACCTCCGAAAAAGGGCCCATTTTTGCAAAAACGGGCCCAGGTGTTTTTTTTTAATTCATGAATAGCCTGGGTGTGGGGGGGGGGGGGTGTTGCAGAGTGCTCCTCCATGGGGGGGGCAAAAACGAGCAAAAACAGCCTGTTTTTAGCTAAACGGGCCTGTTTTTTGTCAAAAAAATTACATGCATAATTTTATGGAGCCTGCTTGGGGGTGCAAAAAAAGGCCTGTTTTTTGCTCATTTCTGCCCTCCCCAGCCTCCAGGAGCTCTCTGAAAGCCTCCATAAGGCTATGCACAGCAATTTTGGTGAAGGGGGCGGGGCTTCGGGAGGCAAAAATACTGTATTCGCTGTATAAGACGCACCCAGATTTTCAGCCTCTTTTTTTGAGGAAACAATGTGCGCCTTATACTCCGAAAAATACGGTAGGCTCAAAATAAGGCTTCTTCCACACAAGCTACAATGAAAGTCTCTGTCATACGGCGTGCCATAGTCACTTGACGATGCTCTGAGCTTGATGGAAAGAAGGCAGGTAGGAAGCCGAATGTGGTACATCAACCCTCCATCCTGCCTCTTCAGAGTTTGCTGAGGATCAGAGGGGAAGAAAATAATTGGCAGGTGCCTTGGATTCTGCGAGGTGCTAATAAGGCAACAGTGGAGGTTGGAAGAGAAGTGAAGTATAAGGCGACTGGATCTGCTAAAAGAGAGCATCCGTCATCCTCATTTGCATAATTAAGTTGAAAAGCAAAACAAATCCCCAGCATTGCAAAGGCATAACTGAGAATCATTCCTATAGGAACACCACAACGTTCATATCTTTTATTTGATGTATATGGGGTTTATGAAGGGATGCGGTGGCTCAGTGGCTAAGACGCTGAGCTTGTCGATCAGTTTGGCAGTTCGAATCCCTAGCGCCGCATAATGGAGTGAGCTCCCGTTATGTGTCCCAACTTCTGCCAACCTAGCAGTTCGAAAATATGTAAAAAAATGCAAGTAGAAAAATAGGAACCACCTTTGATGGGAAGGCAACAGCGTTCCGTGCGCCTTCAGTGTTGAGTCATGCCGGCCACATGACCACGGAGCCGTCTCCGGACAGCGCTGGCTCTTCAGCTTTGGAACAGAGATGAGCACCGCCCACTAGAGTCGGGAACGACTAGCACATATGTGCGAGGGGAACCTTTATCCCTATGGAGTTTGTACAGTAGTAGTCCTCGACTTATGGTCCAACATTTCTGTTGCTAAATCCATACAGGTATTCCTTAAGATTTGTTAAGTAAGTTTGTCCCATTTTATGACCTTTCTCACCACTGTTGTTAAGTGAATCACTGCAGCTGTTAACTTAGTCAAACTGCTGTGAAATGAATCTGGCTTCCCCACTGACGTCGCTTGTCAGGAGGTCGCCAAAGGAGGTCACATGACCCCAGGACGCTGTAACCGTTGTAAATACAAGTCAGTTGCCAAGCGTCTGAATTTTGATCACGTGACCACGAAGTCATAAGTGTGAAAAATAGTCCTAAATCACTTTTTGCAGTGCCGCTGTAACTTTGAATGGTCACTAAATGAACAGTTGTAAATTGAGGACTGGCTATACTAGCTCATACATCCATACAGCTAATAGTCGATGTTTTGGGCACTAAGGACTAGCCCCCATTTACTGCCATTTACAGAACCCTGCGGCCACATAAACATGGTATAGGATTTTGCCAGAAAAGCCATTTGAAGCCATTTGTCTTCACTTAACAATCCTGGCTTTAGTTTGACGACCAACACAAAAAATGTTGTAAAATTGGGTCGGTCACAGGATGACCCATTTAATAGCCAACTTGACTTACAACATAATTCCACATTCAATTACGGTCATAGGTTAAGGACTACCCATATATATGTAAAGCAGGAAATAACAGGGATAAAAGACAAATGAAAAGACAAATATATAAGTGTGTGTGTGTGGTGTGTGTGTGTGTGTGTGTGTGTGTGTGTGTGTGTGTGTTTTCGTTCCAGCATAACTCTGGAACACCTCGAGCAATTTCAACCAAACTTGGTACACTCTCTGGAAACAAATACTGTGTGTGGGGGGGTAAGACACCCCTAATACCCTTGGGGTGAGTGTTCTGTTAAGATACAGCCTGTTGTGCCTCAAAATGGCTTCTACCGTACTGCCGTAAAACGGCTTCTACAGTGGAGTTGCCATGGTAACGGCTTCACAGAACTCCATAAGGGGACTCCCTCGGGTAATGTGGAAAATCCAACATTGGAAATTACATTTGGTCCAACATTATTTTTGAGGACAAATGTATGGGTTAGAATAAATAAATAGCAGGGTAATGTCGGGTTATCAGCTAGTAGAATTTAAATTACGGCATTCAATATGTTTCCCCTGTGCTCCTATTTCTGTGCTCACCAAACATCCTTGCTATCGATGTGCTTATTCACTGCTTCCTATATTTTTCTCTTTTTCATCATTTCATCAGCTCCATCCAAACACAGCCCTCTCAAGCTTCCCCTCCCGTCTCCCCTCTTCCACTCTTCTTTCATCAATTTGTTTTTTCCCCTTCACTGCTTTTCATTCTCCTTATATTTCATTAATACATGATATCTATTTTCAGGTGCTGGTTTGGAAAAGAACCGGGGAAATATATAGATTACATCTATCAAGGACCAGTGATTCTTGTTCTGCTGGTGAGAACTTTACTCTGGAGATTTTTATGCAGCTGTCCAGAATTTGCCCCATCTCAAGTTTTTACTGATTTGATTTGCTGAACGGCAGGGAATGCAGTTTTTTTCAACCTTCGCCATTTGAAGATGGGCGGACTTCAACTCCCAGAATTCCGCAGACAGCATAACAACTGAGAGTTCCGGGAGATGAACTCCACACAGGTTAGCTGGGGAATTCTGGGAGCTGAAGTCCATTTTCTACGGAGGTTTTGGTAATCACTGAGACCTTCTCAACTGATCGCGGGCTTCATCTTTAAAGCAGCCATCTCTCCCTCAAACCAGTGAGTAAACAGGAAGTAGAAAGCTTCCAATACGTTGGTGTGACTCCCAAATTTGTGAGCCTCCCAGAGTCACCTTATCGGGGAGATCAGTGGCATATGAATTAAATAAATATATAGAAATAATGTTAACAGAATAACAAAGTTGGAAGGGACCTTGAAGGTCTTCTAGTCCAACCCCCTGCTTAAGCAGGAAAATCTATACTATTCCAGACAGATGGCTGTCTAATTTCTTCTTTAAAATCTTCAATGATGGAGCTCCCACAACTTCTGAAAGCAATTCCACTGGTTAATTATTCTCATTGTCAGGAAATGTCTCTTTAATTCCAGATTGCTTCTCTCCTTGACTAGTTTCCATCCATTGCTTCTTCTCCTGCCTTCCGGTGCTTTGGGAAATAGGTTGACCCGCCTCTTCTTTGTGGCAGCCCCTCAAATACTGGAAGACTGCTATCATGTCACCCGTAGTCCTTCTTCCCATTAAACTAGATCAGGGGTCAACCATCTGCGGCTCTGGAGCCGTATGTGGCTCTTTCATCCTTCTGCTGCAGCTCCCTGTAGCTGGTTGGCACCACCATTTTGAGAGGAATTTCCAGGTTGAGGGGGGAAGCACGGAACTCCAGGAGGAGACTCTATGGCAAGATGCGGGTTTTTCAGTCGGCTCCACAATTAATAGGGCTTTCAGTTAGGTAGAGGAAAAAGGACACTGCGCTAGGAGGAGACTCTATGGTGGGGAAACCGGACTTCCTGTTGGCTTCAAAATCGAACGGGGGGCGGCTTCCGGTTAGTGAACTTTATGGCTCTTTGAATGTTTGAGGTTGCCGACCCTTCGACTAAACATGACCAATTACCGCAACTGTTCTTCATATATTTTAGCCTCCAGTCCCCTGATCATCTTTGTTGCTCTTCTCTGTACTCTTTCTAGAATCTGCATCTTTTTTTTTATAACATGGCAACCAAAACTGGATTTGCCAAGGCGTTGAAATGGGATTAATACCTCACATCATCTTGATTATATCTGTCTGTTAATGCAGCTCAGATTCGCATTGGCATTTTTTGTTTTGCTTTTCCCCTCCTGGCCCAAAAAATTATCCTGGAAAATTCCAGTGTCTCTTTATCTCCCAAAGTTTCTTCAAATTTCCTTCTTCATGCAGTTGAGGTTCGTTTCCCCCCCCCCCCTCCAATATCTTTTCCTTGCTTATACTTCACTTTTATTGCAAACGCTCCGTTATCAACGCCACTTTTTATAGTCTGGGCTTTCTTAAGCTAAATCAAATCACAAAGCCTTTTTTTTTCCTGTCAGCTTTTGTAAGAAGATTAGCATTTCCTTGTGACATATCCAGGTCTGGATCGTGGGTCTTTAATTAGCACGGTTGATTGAGATCAAGAGATGCCCATGCTTAAACCAAGGGCCAGTGAACAATTAGATGACTTTTCAAACCGATCCCGATAAAGATATTTTTCTCAAGGGTGAATATCTGAGCAGAATATGCCTGTCCTGCCTTTTAGCTGATCCCAAATAACCCTGTTAAAAGGTGTAAAACAATCCATCTGTCTTTGCACTGTTTTCCTGGTGCTTTATTTTTTTTTAAAAAAAAATTCGCTGTACATTAAAATTGGCTGCCTGGGAGATTGGCTGTGAGCATAGGTCACTGCTTCCATGGAGTGAGAATATTTAATTGGCAAGTCCGTGAAATTTGGCAGGCCTAGTTAAGAGGGGGAATAAGAAAGGAAACGCAGAGCAGCAGAAAGAAAATAATCCCCTTGGAATGAAAGAACAGGTCCAATTCCCTTTTGTCTCTTTTCCTTGCAAGAACCAGCCTGCACACAAAAATATTAGAGAAAGCTGTTTGCAAATAAGGTCGTGTCTGCCTGGCCCAGAAGCTAGATGAGGTGACTGCTTTGAAAATATGGGAAACGGTTTCCCCCTGACAAATCCCAGAATGCTCAGCTAGCAGATGAAGGGTGAGAAAGGCAGAGCAGAAGAAGGATGATATTTGAAAAGAAGGAATAAGGGGTGAAGTGATAGCAGTAATCCTGTGTGAAGATGGAGGTTCGTTCCCCGAGCTTGTGGGTTGGTTTCCAAACGTTTCGTTACCAGGCTAAGTAACATCTTCGGTGGAGTTCAGGCAGGAGTGGGATTCAAAAATTGGTTCCTGCACCGTGGTGCAGGAGGCTGAGTAGGCCACGCCCATCATCGCCCGGTTGCTGGGAGGCGTGGCCATGATGGGTGTGGCCTATTCGGCCTCCTGCACCATGGTGGGGTGGGATTTTCACCTTCCCCAGCCTCCAGAGGCTTTACCCAAGCTTCCGGGAGGACAAAAATGGCCTCCCTGGCCTCCGAAACCCAGAAAAGGGCCCATTTCCAGACTTCCGAAACTTCTGGGAGGCCCATTGTTCGCCCCTCCCCAGGCTCCGGAGGATTTACCTGAGCCTCCGGGAGAGCAAAAATTCCTCCCCTGGGCTACGGAGGTGACCGGAGGGTGGAAACGGGCCCGGAACTTCTGGGAGGCCCATTTTTTGCCCTCCCAAAGCCTCCGCGCAGGCCCTGTACTGACCTGCATCCAAAATGGGCTTCATGGAGACTCCTGGAAGGGGAGGTGTGGGCGGGGCGGGGCCAGCCAGTCCTTGCAACTACAGCTTCGGCAAATCAGATGTAAAATTAGCATCCCATTTGCCCAAACAGGTATGAACTGGCTGAATCCCACCCTTGAGTTTAGGGGATGTCAGTGTTGGCATCCTTCTGCTTATAAGGGATCCGTGTGGCCAGTAGGTCTTGTGATGGAAAAGCCATGTCAGGTGAGAGTCTTGTGATGGGTCAGGTCACGCCAGGTAAAGGTCTGATGCGACCCACCCCTCACAAGACCCCCTCACCTGCCCTGCCCTGACCCTCCCATCACAAGACCTACTGACCCCACGATGCCCACACCAAACCAATCCACAGGCTTGGAGAACAGACCTCCACTCTCATCCTACACTCAAGCTACAGTATTCCAATATTTGAGGGGCTGCCACAAAGAAGTGGGGGGGGGTGTTTCAACTTATTTTCCAAAGCACCAGAAGCCAAGAGAAGCAGCAACGGATGGAAACCAATCAAGGAGAGAAGCAACTTGGAATTAAGGAGAAACTTCCTAACAGTGAGATCAATTAATCAGAGGAACAGTTTGCTTTTTGAAGTTGTGGATGCTCCAACACTGGAGGCTTTCAGACTGGATTTGTCTGAAATGGTATAGGATCAACTGCTTGAGCAGTGGGTTGGACTAGAAGACCTCCAAGGTCTCTTCCAGCTCTATTCTGAATTGAATTGAAATCCTTGAGCTAAGTGGCCTGCTGGCGCGCCCAAACTCTACTGTTACGTGATGTGAAGATTGCATTGATTTGTCTTTCTTGTTCTTCTTAATTTCACCCACTCCGTTTAATTACTCCATTTTATCATATTATGAATTAAATGCAAAGTTACAGAGAATCCTTGACTTAGAAACACAATTAGGTCCCGAATTACCATTGGTCAACAAGGGAGTTGTTAAATGAGCTGCATCCAATTTTGCAACCTTTTTTTTGCCATATTGTTCAGTGAATCGTGCAGTTGTTAAGCACATCTGGATTCCCCCCACTGACTTTGCTTGTCGGAGGTTGGTTGGGAAAGTTGCAAATCACAACCTGGGAGGCGGCCATCCATCTTAAATATGCACCAGATGCCAAATGTCCAACTTTTGATGGAACGACCATGGGGATGTTGCGATGGTGGTGTGCGCAGCTGCCTGGGGAATTCTGGGAGTTGAAGTCCACACAACTTAAAGTTGTAGAGATTGAGAATCACAGCTCAGGTGTCTTCTCCAGCATCAAAATTCAAAGGAATCAATCTGTTTCCTCAAAGTCCCATCTTTAGCTTAAATTGAGTATCAGAGACAAAACTTGTTTTAAACGGTTCCACCACAAAATCGCGGAGGACAAAATCACGCTCGACGAAAGCACGCATTTGACGTCATCACAG